TCCACGGCCGCGTGCCGGGCAGGTCCCGGGTTGGCTTATGCCGGGCTGGGCGCTGCGGACGCAGCTCCTCGTTCGCGCGCCCACTGGTACTGGGCCGCAGCCCAGAGTTTGGGAAACGCTGCTATAGGCCAGTGGTTCCCAAACTTTTAGGCATCAAGGCCCCTTTTTGATTTTTTGAAAAACCTTTACACCTCCCCACCCCCAAAAAATAGCAGCAAAACTTGTTGAGCAAAACAAAACAAAGCAAACATGATGGGGAGGGGGAGAGGCTGGGTTGCCTCGTGACCCCCCCTGGAATTTCTTCATGCCCCCCCAATTTGGGAACCCATGCTATAGGTAGTGACTAGGGGGAGAGATCAATAATGTTTTGTCAGTCTTCTTAAGAGACTTAGGTGGTTTTATTTAAACATCTAGGACTAAATTCATCCTTGGTGTAACTCTACAAAAGTCAGTGGAGTTATGTATTAAGGCATGAGTTTAATCATGAGGGGTTTTTTTGGTGTGGGTGGTGGGTGGGTGTGTTTTGCAAGATGGGATGTGTGTGTGTGTGTTGTGTAAAGTGCTGTTCTGCATAACTTTGCGTAGGTTGGCATCATTGGGTAAGGCTGTTAAGTTTCCTTGGGTGTGGACAACTGTACAGTTTCCATTGCTCTTTTGTGATCCCTTGCAGTTTCTGGGAAGGATGCCTAACTGTTAATCTTGAAGTGAGTGTTTAGTTGGCAAATTCTGAAGGAGAGGGAGATGCCATATTGATTGAGGGGAGCAGGAAAACAGACTCAAATGAAATGCATTGCAGTCTTACCACTAGAGCTGGTTGAAAAACAAAACTGGTCTTAGATGTTCTTGTGAAAAAATTGCCCCCTTTTTCCCAATTTAAACATTTCAAAAACTTCAGAGGAGTAGTTGAGTTAGTCTTTAAGGTGCTGCCAGACTATTTCTTGTTTTTCCAGTTACAGACTAACAAAACATGTAGATGGTATTATGAGCTTTTGTGGGTTACAACTCTTAGAGGAAGAATGGACCAATGGTTATAATGATTGGTAGGATAATGGGAAATGCCAGTTAAATATATTGCTTTGCCACACATTTTTTTGTTTGCCCTGGGAAAGTCGCTTAGGTCCAGATTTTTCAAGGTATCTAGGAATCTAAGGCCTTGTCTACACTGGCATGTTTTGCCACCAAAAACTGCCTTTTGTTGACAAAACAGAGTGAGCGCACACATCATGCAACTTTTGTTGGGGAAAAAACTCAGTTCTGGTGACAAAAATTTTTCCACCTCTGTGGGAGACTTTTGTCTTTCCCCCTTCTTTTATTGTTGAGAAAGAGCCAGTGTATATTCTTTTGTTTGTTTTAGTCATGAGAACTGACTTTTGCCAGTATCCCACAATGCCTGTCCTGATGGCTGTGCTGGGTATTTTGTGATTTCTGCTGCCCTGCAGGCATGCATACCTTCCTCTTCAAAGCTCCTGGAAGTATCTGACAGCTGAGTAAGAATCCTCCCAGGATTCTCTCCCCTCCCCCACGGGAAGCCAGCACATGCCTCCTCCGGGCCCCCCACGGCACAGGGAAACCCCAAGCGTGCCTGCCCCGGGGCTAACCCCCCCATTCTGTGGCAGGGCCAAAACCCCACGGGAGCCTGCACCAGTGGCAACCCGCACCACTCCCGCGGCGGGGCCAAACCCTCCTTCCGTGGCGCAGGGCGGCCTGGCAACTCCCCTCCTGCAGCGCGGCCAACCCCCACGGGCACCCCCCCTCCCACGGTGCGGCCCAGCCCGGCCAACTCCCTCCCCTTCCGCAGCGCGGCCAAACCCTGGGGCCAACTCCTGCTCCCGCAGTGCAGGGAAACCCCTGCGCCCAACTCACCCCTCTGGCACTGGCGGGGGAGC